GCCCACCCCCCCTCCCAGCCCAGCCTCTCCCTGCAGGAGGCGCTGTGGGGCAGAGAATCTGGGTCCCGACTCTAGGCCAGCCCACCGCCTCTCCCATCCCAGCCTCTCCCTGCAGGAGGCGCTGTGGGGCAGAGGATCTGGATCCCGACTCTAGGCCAGCCCACCGCCTCTCCCATCCCAGCCTCTCCCTGCAGGAGGCGCTGTGGGGCAGAGGATCTGGATCCCGACTCTAGGCCAGCCCACCGCCTCTCCCATCCCAGCCTCTCCCTGCAGGAGGCGCTGTGGGGCAGAGGATCTGGATCCCGACTCTAGGCCAGCCCACCGCCTCTCCCATCCCAGCCTCTCCCTGCAGGAGGCGCTGTGGGGCAGAGGATCTGGATCCCGACTCTAGGCCAGCCCACCGCCTCTCCCATCCCAGCCTCTCCCTGCAGGAGGGCCCGCCCCCACCCTCCCCCCCCCCAGCCTCTCCCTGCAGGAGGCGCTGTGGGGCACGGGGTCTGGGCCCCGACTCTGGACCAGCCCATCACCTCTCCCAGTCCAGCCTCTCCCTGCAGGAGGCGCTGTGGGGCACGGGGTCTGGGCCCCGACTCTGGACCAGCCCATCACCTCTCCCAGTCCAGCCTCTCCCTGCAGGAGGCGCTGTGGGGCACGGGGTCTGGGCCCCGACTCTGGACCAGCCCATCACCTCTCCCAGTCCAGCCTCTCCCTGCAGGAGGCGCTGTGGGGCACGGGGTCTGGGCCCCGACTCTGGACCAGCCCATCACCTCTCCCAGTCCAGCCTCTCCCTGCAGGAGGCGCTGTGGGGCACGGGGTCTGGGCCCCGACTCTGGACCAGCCCATCACCTCTCCCAGTCCAGCCTCTCCCTGCAGGAGGCGCTGTGGGGCACGGGGTCTGGGCCCCGACTCTGGACCAGCCCATCACCTCTCCCAGTCCAGCCTCTCCCTGCAGGAGGCGCTGTGGGGCACGGGGTCTGGGCCCCGACTCTGGACCAGCCCATCACCTCTCCCAGTCCAGCCTCTCCCTGCAGGAGGCGCTGTGGGGCACGGGGTCTGGGCCCCGACTCTGGACCAGCCCATCACTCCGCCTTTGCGAGAGGAGACGGAACAACTCAGCCTCACAGACTGCACAGTTCTCTCACCCCAGCCTCTCCCTGCAGGAGGCGCTGTGGGGCACGGGGTCTGGGCCCCGACTCTGGACCAGCCCATCACCTCTCCCAGTCCAGCCTCTCCCTGCAGGAGGCGCTGTGGGGCACGGGGTCTGGGCCCCGACTCTGGACCAGCCCATCACCTCTCCCAGTCCAGCCTCTCCCTGCAGGAGGCGCTGTGGGGCACGGGGTCTGGGCCCCGACTCTGGACCAGCCCATCACCTCTCCCAGTCCAGCCTCTCCCTGCAGGAGGCGCTGTGGGGCACGGGGTCTGGGCCCCGACTCTGGACCAGCCCATCACCTCTCCCAGTCCAGCCTCTCCCTGCAGGAGGCGCTGTGGGGCACGGGGTCTGGGCCCCGACTCTGGACCAGCCCATCACCTCTCCCAGTCCAGCCTCTCCCTGCAGGAGGCGCTGTGGGGCACGGGGTCTGGGCCCCGACTCTGGACCAGCCCATCACCTCTCCCAGTCCAGCCTCTCCCTGCAGGAGGCGCTGTGGGGCACGGGGTCTGGGCCCCGACTCTGGACCAGCCCATCACCTCTCCCAGTCCAGCCTCTCCCTGCAGGAGGCGCTGTGGGGCACGGGGTCTGGGCCCCGACTCTGGACCAGCCCATCACCTCTCCCAGTCCAGCCTCTCCCTGCAGGAGGCGCTGTGGGGCACGGGGTCTGGGCCCCGACTCTGGACCAGCCCATCACCTCTCCCAGTCCAGCCTCTCCCTGCAGGAGGCGCTGTGGGGCGGGGGGCTCTGAGAGCTGTTCCGGGTGTCCATGGGAGGTGGTTCCCACAGGGATAGGTGGAAGGAGCCGGCGTCGTTTCAGTGCCCGCCCTCCCTTGGGTCGCGGTGACCACTCCTCACAGCCCGGGGGCCTTACGGGTGTAATGCTCCACCAGCTCGTGCAGGCTGCTGAAGGTGATGCGGGGGGAGATGTAGAACCCCCCCTGGTCCATGTTGCGGATCTTGTAGTGCTTCACCATCTCGCCGTGGGTTTGGTCGAAGTCCCTCACGGACAAGGAGAAGGAGCCACCGGGGAATGAGGTGGCTCCTTTTCTCCCTCTAAGACGCCTGCCCTCTAGTCCTGCCCCCTGCCCGCCCTCCCCCAGGTCCAACCTGGACTGGGCCGGGCACCAGCAGAGGGGCACCAACAAGCGGTAAGTGGTGGCCGACGGCAACTGGGGTGGCTCCAGAGCCAGGCACCGCACGGTCTGACTGCCTCTGAGAGCCAGCGGGATAGGGACGGGGCGGCACTGGGGGCTGGCTGCCCCCCCATCCCTTCCACCTGAAGCCCTGCCCTTTCTGGGGGCACAGAGCCAGCCCCCCCATTGCCCAGGGGCCCGGCAATCCTGTTGGCTCCCCTAGACATCCTTCCACATGGACAGTTGCTTTTCAACTGAAGTCCAGGGGGAGGGAGGAGAAAGTGATAGGAGGTACAGGGGAGGGGGACAGTGTGTTTGGGGGGATATGAGCTTGCTGTCTTGTAAGTTCAGACAGTGGTAAGAAACAACTGGTCCTGAGGCAGGGAGAAGGGGAAACCCCAACGTCTCTCTCTCTCTCACCTGAGTGAGGTGGTCTGTATAGTGCAGTATGGGCACATAAGCACCATTATGAGGCCAGGTCTAGCAACTGTAATGCAGCTCTGAGGCTGCAAGGCTGGGTCCTGTGGACCTGGGTTTATAATGTCATGTCGACGTAACCCAGGAGCTTGCTGGCAGGAATAATGACTAACCCGTATTAAGGCTCCTAGGCTGCCAGGCAGGGGGGTGCTCCCGCCCCCACCCGCGGAGACCCCCGGGGTGCTCCCCAAGAGGACGGGGATCAGGACTCCTTCCCCCTAGCAGGGCAGCTAAGCCCAGGGCAAGGATGGGCGGGGGAGGGAAGACGCTCCAGGCTGTTCACCCTGGCGACGAAGTTGTAGGGAATGTAGCCTTCCTGGCCGGTGGTGAGCGACTGGGCCCTCCACCACTCGCCGCTCCTGAAACCAGACCCGAGGAAAGGGCCACATCAGTCCTGCGTCCCCGCTAGGGAGGGGCGAGCACAGCGGCCTTGGCAGAAAGAGGCCAGTGGCTGGGACTCCTCCCCCTCAGCCTGGCCTGGGGAAGAGGCTCCAAGCTGGCTGGGAAGGTGGCAGACTTTCTGGTGAGGCCAGCTCCTTTGCGGCCCGGCCCTCCCTGGCTTCCTACCTTACCCTCCAATGGGCACTTTGCCCTCCCCTGTAGCTTAGTGCTGGATGCGGCCACATAGAATCACTGGACACTAGAACTGGAGGGACCCCGAGAGGCCATCGAGTCCCGTCCCCTGCCCTCCCGGCAGGACCAAGCACCGAGATGACCCCTGCCAGGTGTCTGTCCGACCTGCTCTGCAGTATCTCCAGGGATGGAGATTCCACAACCCCCCTGGGCAATTTATTCCAGTGTTTCACCACCCGGACAGGAAGCTTTTCCTAATGTCCAACCTAACCCTCCCTTAACCATAAAACCATAGAATCCTAGAACCAGAAGGGACCTCGAGAGGTCATCGAGTCCAGTCCCTTGCCCCCATGGCAGGACCAAATACTGTCTAGACCATCCCTGATAGACATTTATCCAACCTGCTCTTGAATATCTCCAGTGACGGAGATTCCACAACCTCCCTGGGCAATTTATTCCAGTGTTTAACTGCCCTGACAGGAAGTTTTTCCGATTGTCCAACCTAAACCTCCCTTGCTGCAGTTTAAGCCCGTTGCTTCTTGTCCTGTCCTCAGAGGCCAAGGAGAACAATTTTTCTCCCTCCTCCTTGTGACCCCCTTTTAGACACTTGAAAACCCCTCTCGTGTCCCCTCTCAGTCTTCTCTTTCCAAACTCAACAAGCCCAGTTCCTTCAGCCTCCCCTCCTAGCTCATGTCTTCTAGACCTTTCATCATTTGTGTTGCTCTTCTCTGGCCCTTCACACGTCCTTCTCCCGCCCCGAGGCAGGAGGGCAGGGCACCACGGGGCCTGCCTGCCTGCAGTTCTTGGG